CGCATGGCGTGTGGCATCAGGGCACTCCCAATCCGGCGCTCCCAGGGGTGGCATGGAGCTGCCCCTTAGGGGCCATCTGTAGAGCCCCAAACACTCAAACCATTATACTACTCTGGCTGTCAACAATTCAATAACTGTAATAATTCCTTGGAAACCTAATGTAGCATAGTGATCCAGAAATAGGACTTTGCTGAAACCAGGGCAAGGCTCCTCTCAGCTTCTGCCTGGCAGAATTAAAAACTGTAAGGAAAGGAAGTGAGTTTTAACAAACGTAACACATTTCACACAAAGGAGAAGTGTCCTATTCCATGAATCAGGGTGGGCAGGGTATGGCCTGAGGGCTACATATATTTTTATAGTGCTTGGACCTTCAGACTTAACTGGAGAATGCTTTTTCTAGTTTTTTAAAAAATGTGTGTATACGTGTGTGTGTGTGAGTGAGTGAGTAAGTGAGTTTGAAAGTTTCTCTTGGAAGCTACCAGAAGTGGCCAATTGCCTTTTATACAGAGTTTTTATAACATAAAAAAATCCACCAGTTTTTCAAACCCAGAAGTAGACTTTCACCCACCTTTTCTCTCTCCTCTCTTGTTTTTGGCTTTCTTGCCAATCTTTGCAGCCCTTGCAGGACCCCAGGGACATATTCTCTGAAACTGCCAACTCCAGCTCTAAATGAATACTTTCAAATTCCCATTCCCCGCAATGGCTGTGTGACACAATTTAACAGCAAGCCTATCTCTTGAATTTTGGGACACTTGAAAGTGAAGGGTCATGTGGGGGCTGAGCTAATTCTCATGCTAACTGCAGTGAGTCACTGCAAAATGACACATGCAATTCTACTATTCAAACTGAAAACCCCAAATCAAATTGATATAACAGACTCATAAAAACTAGTGGTCACACTGAAAGTAGAAATCTGGAACAGCAGATATCCTAATGCAACTTTGGTGGCTTTTGATGGAATGGCCAGATCAGATTTCCCCTGTTAATGAATTCAGTGAGATTGTGAGGGAATCATTTCATTTATTCTTTTCTATTTTTTCTTAATCCTAATTTCATTATATCTAAACTAGACTCACATAGATGTTTCTTGGAATAATTTCATCACCTGTGTAAAGACTGAAGATTTACAATGATATCAGTCAATAGCATATAGTTGTATACATTGATGGTGCCCTATAGAAATATGGTTGTTGTTGTTATTGTGTGTCTCCAAGTAATTTTTGATTCATGATGAGCCTAAAATGAACCTAGCATAGGTTTTTCTTGGCAAGTTTCTTCAGAAGGGGCTTTGCCATTTCCATCTTCTGAGGCTGAGAGTGTGTGACTTACCCAAGGCCACCCAGTTGGTTTTTTATGCTTGAGCAGGTAGTTGAACCTTGATCTCCAGAGTCATAATCCAGTGTTCAAACCACCACATCATGCTGGTTCCTAAGTAATAAATATAAAACTGAAGGCACACATCCAAAATGATATGATGCAATCATGAAAAATTTCCAGTGTGTGTTGAATTTTCCCCCATAAAAATATGGGCATACAAATGGGTCTCTCTCTCTCTCTTTTTTGCACTGTTTCAGACTTTTATCTTTTTAAAAATTTTTAAGCTTATCTTAAACAAATTAGGACATTGTATTCATCAACTCATTGCATGGAGAGATCATCTTATCCATTAGGTTTTTGTTATTTGTTTTTGGTGTTCTAAAGAGTAGTCTGTAAAATGTGATGAATTCATCCAGGCCAGATTTTGTTTTGGGTGATAGCATATGTGAAAATGATCATCTTGTTCTTTTTCTGTTTTCCCAAATGAGAATTCCCATACTGAGTAGAAGGTCATCTCCACTTAAATTTTGCAAGTTATCCCAATGAGAATTCCCACACTGACTGAAATATCCTCCATCCCTCTGGAATAGGGCTCCATAAAACTGAAAGGTCTGATGAGTCTTAAATTCCCTGCTACTGCACAGTGTCTCATGATGTTTTGTGACCACACATGATTAGGTTTCCTTTTCAGGCTTCACCTGCCTTCACGTGTCAAAAAAGAAATCAAAAAGAGAAAGTCCAGAAGACTGTCACTGTGTTAGGGGTTAAAAATGAATAGGCAGGAGGACAAGTCTGCTAACATCTGGGAAAACTAGTTTTCAAAGCTAGACAGTTCAGGTTCCCTTGAGACACTCTGGCTTTGTATTTTGTCCATCTAAACTAGTTCTCTGGTGTAGCTGCATTTGCAGTAATTGCTAGAGTTCGTAATTGCAGAACTGTGCAGTGAATATATACCCTCTTATTATGGTATATAGGCAGAGCATTTCCAGTAACTGTGGGTCATCTAAAGCT